CGCCCACTCCTACTACTCAGTCCCCGACCACCCAGACTGCTGGACATACAACCAGTAGTATCGACTACTGGTGCTCAAAGGACGGTTATATGCCACACCCCAGTGATCCACATGAATACTTCCAGTGCGAATGGATCCCCGGCAAGGGCTGGTACCTCCATTTGCAACACTGTCCCGGTGTGACCAAATGGGTTCAGGTGGACAAGAAATGTGACGGTGTATAAACATGATATCTACCCCAGTATGTAAACACAATTTTGATAACCCCATTTCCATCTAATTTGTTATATGATAATTGTGGACATAATTCATAATTATGTATAAAATTGTAAATGATTTGATATGTTTACAATAAAATAGTATTCAAATAATTTCAAAACATTAACTTCTTCTCATTTAATACTGAATATGTAAATAGTACTAAACACCAAGGCAATTTTGATGAAATCTTATATTCAAAAGGTTAACGGTGATTGTAGACATTGTAGGAATACCAATAGGACACGCTAACAACTACTACTCAATAATATTGTTATATGGGATTAATTAACTTAGGATATATAAATCATTTATTGCTTTATATAAAAATTAAATTATTTCTTAAAATATATTCAGTCTTTTATTAAATAAATATTATAGTCTATATACTATATAATAAATATTATATATTTTTTCATATAAAATATTTAACTTGAACATTGGATTATTTTTAAAAAATATTAACTTCAATATTTTAGAAAGCAATATCTGGATCATTTTATACCATTTTTCACAAGGCTTTGATAGACTAATAAGTATATTATTTATACATAACTACACTGATATTAATATTTGAACATAAATTGAACAAACAATTTAATTAGACATTAATCCCATTGACATAGGTATACGGTATTAATAAATAAGATATTAATTGCACCACTTAAACATTAAACATTACAATCAATTTATCAGAATATTCTTATATAGGAGAAAAACATTAATTATTGATTTCTATGTATTTACAGTGCTTAAATTTCTTAAAATTGCTCAATGTTTAATCAATTAATTATCAGTTGAAGTGTGTTTATGCGAATGAATCTAAGTACCTGTGATTCATAATGATTTTGGAAAGTTAATTTTAAAAACTAATTATTGTTTGAAATGAAACCAGACACTTTTATAATTTCTAAAAGTGTGGGAAATGGACTATCACAAATCTTCTATCTATTTATTGTATTAAATAAGAATACAATAAAACAACGGGATTTTCGTTTGAATAATATAATCAGTTTGATCAGGAATTCAATTATAAATAATCTAGTATAGATAATCTTTGCAATGGTTTCAAGTGCTCGTATTTCGGCTTACATTGTGAAGGACAACATCCACTCGCTATTTAAGCAATCGATTCAGTAATTGAGACAATAGTTTGTGTTTTNATAATCTAGTATAGATAATCTTTGCAATGGTTTCAAGTGCTCGTATTTCGGCTTACATTGTGAAGGACAACATCCACTCGCTATTTAAGCAATCGATTCAGTAATTGAGACAATAGTTTGTGTTTTGAATAGTTTTGGGTCACATTCTGTATACTAAGAAATGGCAAAACTTTTCTTATTAGCGGTACTGTTGGGTGCCGTAACAATGTGTCAGGGTATGTATTCATTCGTTACATACAATTCAAATAAAATAAAATTCCCTTTAATTTGGTACTACAGGTGCCTTCACGGAAGGTCCGTTCAGACCGGCGGTCACCCGCAGTATTGACGACTACTGTAAACACGAGGGATATATTCCGGGTCCCGATCCTTCTTCATACTACAAGTGTGAGTACGTACCCGACCAGTGCTGGAACAAACACCTGGAGCACTGTCCAGATGGTGGTACTTGGGATGAGGTCACTCGACAATGTATGTCAAACATCATATACTCTATTAAATATAGTCTTTATATGAATTAGAAATATATATTTGTTGAATACCCAGGTAAGGCCAAACCAACCACTGCAGCCCCAACCACGACAACAACTACCACCACAACCACAACCACAACACCTAAGCCCACACCTCCGCCCACCACTACCACTACTACACCTAAGCCCACACCACCGCCCACCACTACCACCACCCAAGGTGTCGACTACTGGTGTTCTCGGGACGGATATATGCCACACCCGAGTGACCCCCATAAGTACTTCCAGTGCGAATGGATTCCCGGCACGGGTTGGTATCTCCACGACAGGACGTGCCCCGGAATCACCAAATGGGTTCAGGCAGATAAGAGATGCGACGGTGTATAACATGATCTCTACCCCCAGTATGTAAACACAGTTTGTTATACCATTTACATCTAATTGGTTGATAATAATTGAAGACATAATTCATAATTATGTATAAAATTGTAAATGATTTTATGTGTATTCAATAAAATCAAAATTCATATAATTACTATCAGTTTGATTTCATTTAGGAGTATATTATAGAAATAATATTTATAGGGAAGTAATAATAAACCATTGATTAAACTTTATATTCAAGTTATAAGATAAGATTTACTACTATAGGAAATTCTACAAATTGCTATTAGTTTTCATTTTTAATCAATTAATTGGTACTGTCGCTTTTTATATTATTTAATATAATACTCTATACTGTAATATGATTGAATTTTTCTACTGTAGTTAAATCAAAAATATTTAGAAACCATATAAAGTGAATCAGTGATTCAGAATCACAATAAAATTTAAAAGCAATTTTAAAATCAACTCATTAATTATATAATATAAAATAATAGTACAATTTCACTCTAAATTTGAAAGTATGAAATATGTAAACCAGGCAAAACGTAGATAACAGGATTTAATACATGTAAGTTATAGGAAACTATAAAAATACTATAAAATGTATATGATTGTTTTAAGAAAATTCTAGAATTAAATTACAGTATTATAATCAGTGTTTAGACATTAATCTCATTATAGAATAGAAATAAATTAATTAAATAAGTTGCTAGTGAATAATGAAATCTAATTGAATGAGTTAAGTAAATAATAAGAAATTGTCAATATAAAAAAGTATTAATTTCCTAGAATTTTCTTTTGCACTACTTTTTGTCTAATCATATATTTATCAATAAAAATGTATTAAGGTTTAGAGATCAAAGTGTCTGTCATTCATAAGACTGTAGAATTAATTATTTATAATACGATAATTATTGTTTTAAAATTAGATGAAATTAAATTATATTAGCATCATAAGAATCGCTAATAAAAGTATGATGATAGATTAAATGAATATACATTTAAGTCTATGTAATGTGAATTGAATGTAATATTGGAATCATTGGACATTGAAATAATCACAAAATGGGATTTAAGTTAATCCCGAAAAGATATCTTTTGAAATGATTTCAAGTGTTGGTATTCGTCTGACATTCCGAAGGACGACATCGTCTCTAGTATTTAAGCCGTGATTTGAGACAATAGTGTTTTGTATAGTTTTTGATCATAGACACCAAGAAATGTCAAAACTTTTCTTATTAGCAGCACTTTTGGGAGCGGTAGTCATCTGCCAGGGTTTGTATTCATTCGTTACATACAATTCAATGAAAACAATTCATATTTCTATTTGAACCACAGGTGCCTATACGGAGGGCCCATTTCGAGCGGCCGTCACCCGCAGTATTGACGACTACTGCAGTCACGAGGGATACATACCGGGTCCCGATCCTTATTCATACTACAAGTGTGAACATGTACCGGACCAGTGCTGGGTCAAGCACCTGGAGCACTGTCCCGATGGTGGCACTTGGCACGAGGACATCCACCAATGTATGTCATCCACAATATTCTCTATTAAATATAGTCTTTATATGAATTACTTAATAACCAGGTGTAACACCAACCACCACAACCACAACTACGACCACCACCACAACTACTACGGAAGCCCCCACCACAACAACTACTACCGCAGCCCCTACCACCAGTAGTATCGATTGGTGGTGCTCTAAGGATGGCTATATGCCACACCCCAGTGACCAGCATAAGTACTTCCAGTGTGAATGGATCCCAGGCACGGGATGGTACCTCCATTTGCGCCAATGCCCCATTCACACCACATGGATACAAAAGGACAAGATGTGCGATGGCCCTGATATTATACCACCAATGGATGACTAATTGGTAGTCACCCTGCTATTTTAACTCAGTTTATGACACATTATCCATTTAATTTGGTATCTATAATAGACATCTATTTAGACATAATTGATAATTATGTATAAAATTGTATATGATTTGATATAATGTGTTCAATAAAAGCATAATAATATAATAAATGTGATATACCTGTAGTTTATTTAATTTGAGAGCAGAATACTGTATAATATGAGTAAATAAATTCTTGCAATAATTTTTTATATTGATTTACATTGCATTGCAGTCAATTGTCTTATCACTAATAATCACTTAAAGTAGTCCTCAATCAATAAGTGTTTATAAATGACTATGAGTTAAACAAACATATAAATGCGAGTGGGAAAGGGGTTAAAAAGTTGACATTCAATAAAAAAAGATAAAATATACTCTCACTTCAAATAATGGACTTTATTCTCAATACCAAAGATTTGAATAAAGATTTCACAGAATGGTATACAGAATAATGATTGTGTGCTAAATGAGTAGTAAATTCATGTTAATGTAAGTTTTCAAAAACTAATTAATAATAGAAATAAAATATGTCATATATTTTCCTACACTTATAGTAATTATCAATATAAGCCATTTATTAATACTTGATATAAATATTAAATTAATGATAATCCACAATTAAATGATATCCAGTAAAATAAAAGTTAAATTTTTAAACATTTTCCTAAACTTTTTATAATAAAATCCATTTCTCAATGAAATCTAATAGATGTCTCGCTCTTAAAAGCCATTTAAACGACGACTCAGTACTTTATAACACAACGATCCCAATGAAAGTAACGCACATAAAAGGCCTCAAAACAGTGACACATAAACAGTGACTGAATTGTAAATAAACGAGTCATTCATGAAATGAGGAAATGTTTTGAGTTTTCATCAGTTTTTCAATCATCTGTTCAACAGATCCCAAGACATGGCTGAACTCAAGAACAAAGACCCGGAGCTCATCACAAACACCATCGCTATTGTCAGCCGTCTGTTCGTGAACTACGGGTGGTATGTGTTGGCCGTCATCATCATCGGTGTCATCGTTTACCACAAGTACTTGCGTCCACTTTGGGATCAAATGGCTGAACGACGGGAACGCATGAGTGAGGGTTAGTGTCCGCTCATATCACCATTGAATCCATGGTATCAATTGATCCTATTGTCATCCAAACAGATCCGGACGCGAGTGCCAGACGTCAGGAGCAGATGGATGCGGCCCGTCGTCGACAGCAAGAGATTTACGACAAACAGAGACAGGAATACGAGCGCAAAGAGCAGGAGAAGCAGACGGAGAGACAGAGACAGAGGAATGAAGTGATCAATAGTGTGGACAACAGCGCAGACATCGCCAATGAGTTGCGGAAGAGACAGATGAGGCCATTGAGAGACAACTCATTCAACCCTCTGATGGGCTCTTCGAGCGGCGCTTCCTATCGACCGTCGCGTCCGGCGTGCGGGCCGTCCGATGGCGGCGGATGAGGTTAAGTGATCGGCGCCGGGCTTATCGCCATACTTCACATACCGGTGCTGACTGTTATCCATGACTCGCATCAATGCTATTCATATGACGTCTAATTCATAAAGTTTGACACAAAACACGAATTAATGACTGAAGACAATGGCATTCATTTCGATGTCCTTTTGCGGCAATGATTTTGTATTCAAAGCCAATATCTTATATTTTGTACATTTGTATAGTTTATGTAAATTAAAAATCAAATCCAATAAATTTTATTGAATAAAACTTTAGGCAATTATTTATAATTCGTTATCAAATCAAGCGTTTCATTCAATGATTTCATGATTTATGTCTTAAAACTATTCATTTGCACAAAAATCAACAGTAAATGAGATATCAAATCAAAATTAAAGATAAAATATATTTACACGAAATTGACTAAAAAATAATTTCTAAGCTTTGATGAACAAAATAAGATCATCTAATGAGCGAAGTCTTCGTCATCGGCTGCCGTCCACGTCATGAGCGTCGGGTCTATGCCGGCCTCAGCGCCGGACAACAGCTGGTGATGACTGTCATCGAAGCCCGTCTTCAGGTAATTGGCGTTTCTGGACATCCAGTTGGCGCGCAAACTATGCACCGATACGTTCATGTCTTTGAATGCGT